CGTGGTTGCTGCTTGTTGGGATGGTACACGGAGGCTTGGGTCAGGGGGACCCTCCATGGTGCATCTTCCCCACCTTCCTGCTTCCTCAGGAGCAGAGGCACAGTCCGTGTTCCTCTAGGTCCCACCTCATCACGTTGAGTGGAGAGGATGCCTCCCCTTTTGAGGAGCCTCCAAGAGCCGACTTGGAGGCAAGCATCCAATACAGCTGTCTGCCCAGGGGGAAAGGAGGGGAAGGGCAGGTGAGGCAGGAAGGAAGGAGGCCCATGAGGGGCATGCTGTCCATCAAGCCACACCGTTGGCATCTGGAGCTCATCCTGCTGGGAGCTCTGGGGGACACACTGATCCTGCCTGGGAATCATCCGTGAGGGGTTAGGATTTATCTGCCAACACCCAGCTTCCACAGACAACAGCTGCTCGCAAGGCCAGGAGTCTCCAGCTCAGCCACACAACCTGATGCTTCTGCTAGAAAGAGGGAAACTATAGGCTCCAGGTGCAGCCTGAAAGGGACAGGCAGGAACAGTGGGCTGAAGCAGGGCATTGCTGTTGCTGATGTCGTCGCTATGTCCAACTCTCTGCAACCCCATGGCCTGCAGCACACCAGGCTTCCCTGACCTTCTCCATCTCCCAGAGCTTGCTCAAACTCACGTCTGTTGAGCCAATGATGCCATCCAACCATCTCATCCTCTGTCGCCCCCTTCTCCTCCTGCCCTCAGTCTTTCCCAGCATCAGGGTCTTTTCTAATAAGTCAGTTCTTCGAATCAGGTGGCCAGAGTATTGTAGCGTCAGCTTCAGCATCAGTTCTTCCAATGTATATTCAAGGCTGATTTCCTTTAGGATTGACTGGCTGATCTCCTTGCATTCCAAGGGACTCGCAAGAGCCTTCTCCAACACAACAGTTCTAAAGCATCAATTCTTCTGCTCTTGGCCTTCATTATGGTCCAACTCTCACATCCATACATGACTACTGGAAAAACCAGAGCTTTGACTATATAGACCTTTGTCAGCAAAGCAATGTCTCTGCTTCTTAATGCACTAAGTTTATCATCACTTTCTTTCCAAGGAGCAAGCGTCTTTTGATTTATGGTTGCAGTCACCATCAGCAGTAATTTTGGAGCCCAAGAAAATAAAATCTGTCATTGTTTCCACTTTTTCCCCTTCTGTTTGCCATTAAGTGAAAGGACCGGATGCCCCCACATGAACCATCAACAGGCCTCCTTGTGCTTGGCGATGGGCTTGCCGCTGCTCCCCAGTGCTTAGAGGGCTTGGCTGCAGCCTTAGTGGGCTTGCACTGACTCTGCACACCTCCCTCTGGCCAACTCTACTGTCTCCTGCTCCCTTCTATAGTATTAAGTACAGGAGCTCCCCAGGATTGTCCTCCTGGGAGCAGGTCTCCCTGGGATATAACCTGCATTGTGTCCTCCATGCCAGAGTATTTTGCAAGCATTTTACTTCTCATGATCTCAGATAAGACCTGGCCCTTGAACCTACCCACCTTCACTCCAATCCTCCCTCAGCCAGAAGTTTACAAAAACCTTTAATCAAACACTGGCCTAGATCAACATGGACTAAATTTTCTCAACCTTTGCTGGTGTTCTCTCTGCCAGACCTAAAAGGCTCCTGCAGAAAACATTCCATTTTCTCATAAATTAGAAAAATTTCTCTTTCTCCAAGTTGTTGATAAGTACATGCAGCAGCAGAGGTCAACCATTTTAGTTCTGGAAAACAAGCGAGTGTGATGTCAGGCGTCCATCGAGCTGGAGCCTGTAAAACTGTTCTTGATCTGTGTGGTTTCCAATTGCAGCCTCACGTAGACTTTATAAACAAATGCCAGCGCTGTCGATTATGACAAGAGTTCACATTCTGAACAAGCAAGGAGTTCAGACTGTCTGAGACCCACCTGTGTACTAAGTCACTTCAGGCGTGTCCGACTCTTTGAGACCCCATTAACTGTAGCTTGCCAGGATCCTCTGTCCATGAGACTCTCCAGGTAAGAATACTGGAGTGGGTTGCCATCCCCTCCTCCTGGTGAGCTTCCCAACCCAGGGATCAAACCTGTGTCTTTTGCATCTCCTGCATTGGCAGGGGGGTTCTTTACCACTAGCACCACCTGAGATCCATCTTAGCCTCTCTCCTGCTCAGACTCCTGGGAGCCTTTCAAGGCATGGGAAGAGTACCTCCTGGGGAGACATCCTGAGGGCTCAGAAAGTCCCCAAGCCACTGGCTGCCTGGCCTGGCAGCCTCTGATGTGTACTGCAAGATTCTGGCACATTAACTGTGCCCCAGTCCCCTCAGGAGGGCAGTGACCAAGGGGCCACGCAGTCAAGGATGCAGGGCTGGCCATTGGCTATACAAGTCAAAGCCCTTCAGTGTCCGATGAAGCATGGCTGAGAGCAGTACAGAGAAAGCAAATCTCATTGCCTTACTGTAAGCAGCTCTGTGGGGTCTGAAACAAACCTTCCCTGTGAGTTCCAATCTTCATATCCTGATTATTTTGAAAGGAAAAGAGAAGGAGTTGCAGAAGGGGTCCAGTCATTCCAGGGACAGCCCACTCCCCGGAGCTGTAATTTTGCAATTTTTATTCATCCAGTTTGGGCTGAGTGTTCCCCAACCTTACAAAGATGTTAACATTTACAGATATTTAGAGGGGAAGGGCAACTACCAGGAACTGTTCATCATGACCTCGGACACCATTATGACCCTGGACACCCACACCTCCAATGACATCATCCAGAGACCCAGCACCGCAACTCACATCCCAGAACCAGGAGGCATGTGAACCTGCCACTATACAGGCACTCACGTGGAAGCCTGGGCTCAAGGTGGAAAGCACCTCTCCTGGTAGGACACCCCCTCCTTACTGACCATATGGCGCTGGATGGCTGGCCCCCTCAGGTTAGCTCAAAAGGGCAGTGGGGCCCTACTGGATCAGAGCAATGTTGTCCCCAAGTTCCAGTGAGTGGGCTGAGTTCCCTCCATAGGACACTCTCAGAGCAATATTTTTTTGTCCAGTGTGAAGCTTGCCAGTACTTCAAAGACCTTCTTTCCAGCAGGACAGCCTGTAATTGGAGGCAGTGCCACCAAAGAAATAGCCATTTCTGCAGCCTGGGCACAGAAGCCAGCAGACTAGAGCTTCAAAGGACCACATACAACCTGGTCGCCCAAGGATGCTCTATGCATGCCAAGAAAAAACAAAATGGCAATGCACACATAAATGCCTCAAAGTTACCGAGCAATCATTCCACACCTTCCTTACTAATCACCAACTAATCACCACTTCCCAGCCTGACCCTGGTATTTGTCCCACCTCAGGAAAGCATTTACCCTGAGTCCTTTCCACTATGTTAAACTTTCCTGCTTACAGCTTGTGACTATGTGAAACTGTTTGTGTTTTTCCTACACCATACAATTCTCAGCAGACCCTGACTGGGTGTCCCACAATTTCATTCCACTCTGACACTCTCTATTTAGAGCTAGTGTCACATCCCACAAGTTAGGGGCTGACTCTCAGGAGACCACTCCCCACTCAGATGCCAATTGCAAGTTCAGTTGGTCACCTTGTTTCTGACCAACTAGCCGCAGATCAGAGGTTCCCATGACCTCCACGTTGTATCCCAGTAATTGCTAGAGAAGCTCACAGAACTCACAAAACCCATTGACTCACTAGATCACCTGCCAATTGCAGAGGATGTTAAAGCCAGATGAGGAGAGGTCCCAAACAAAGGAGCTTCTGTCCCTGTGGTGTTTGGGGTCCAGTCCAGCAGCACAAGGACAAGTTCTGATTCACCAGCCCAAAAGCTCTCTGAATCTATTCCTTTGGACTTTTGTGGCGGCCTCATTACACAGGCATGACTGATGAAATCATTGGCTGTTGGTGACTGATTCAGCCCCCTCTCCACTCCCTGGAAACCAGGTCATGGGGCTGAAAGTTTTACCTCCCCCGCCATTCTTATTGATCCCCTTGGTAACCAGCTCTCCATCTTTAATGAAACTGTTAGTCACTAAGTCATGTCTGACTCTTTGTGACCTCTTGGACTGCAGCCACCAGGCTCCTGTCTATGAAATTCTCCAGGCAAGAATACCAGAATGGGTAGCCATTCCCTTATTCAGGGGATCTTCCCAATCCAGGGATCAAGCCTGGGTGTCCCATGCTGTAGGCAAATTCTTTACCTTCTAAGCCACCAGAAGTCCCTTAGGTGTGGTCCAAAAGCCACCTCACTAACATAAACTCAGACATGGTAGGAAGGGATGTCCATTTCACCTTTATGGCTCTGAAGCAATTTCAGGTAACTGAGGACAGGGGACCAAACATTATAACAAAGTGAAAGTGAAAGTCACTCAGTTGTGTCCGACTCTTTGCAAACCCATGGACTGTATAGCCATGAATACTGGAGGCCAGAATACTGGAGCAGGTAGCCTATCCCTTCTCCAGCAGCTCTTCCTGACCCAGGAATCGAACGAGGATCTCCCACATTGTAGGCGGATTCTTTACCAGCTGAGCCACAGGGGAATCCAAAAGATGCTCCCATTGCTCTCGTTGCTTGAAAATTCCAAGGTTTTGGGGAACCATGAGCCAAGAAACTAGGCAAAGACCAAATTCTATATTTATTATGAATCACAATATCAGGGGGATCATGGGAATCTCTGCCTCAGGACTCCCCTTCTCAGCTCAAGGAGCCCTGGGCCCACAACCATCAGCCCAAAACTGGGGCCTGTCAGCAGGAACAGCCACCCCAAAGCTCTGCAGATGCTATTAAAGGAAAAAGGGACACCCACAAATGTGGGACAGGCTGAACTTCCTTCACCACCAAGGAAAGGACTCCTGCTATACAAGCTGGCTTTGAAGAGTGTTATTATAAACAGAAAAGGGGGGATTCGAAGAGTAAATTTTGTATTAACTGTCCCTTAGGGGCACGTGGCCCCTTCTGAATAGGCAGGGAGGTTGTCTTTTAGGAACTGACTTCAGGAGGCAGGGGTCTGAGCTGTGGTTCCATCCCCACCAGGCTGTCACGGTGGAATTCAGCAGCAAGTACCACCAGGAGAAACAGCAGTGGAACCCGGAGCAGAGCAGAGCAGTGAAAGTGGACTTTCAGCCATCTCCTGTCCAGCTTCTCGTGCTGTCAGCCAAGTTCAAAGGGAAGCTGCTGCTTCAGAGAAAGCAGCTTGGGAACACTCGCCTAGCAGAAGAGCTCCTGCATACCTATGCCTTTGAGCAGATAAGCTGACCCCAGAGCAGCGGGCTCATGAGCAGCAGAAGTAAGGGATTTGTTGTTGTTCAGTCACTAAGTCGTGTCCGACTCTTTGCAACCCCCAGGGACCACAGCAGGCCAGGCTTCTCTGACCTTCACCATCTCCCGGAGTTTGGTCAAACTCATGTCCATTGAGTCAGTGATACCATCCAACCATCTCATCCTCTGTCACCCCTTTCTCCTCCTGCATACCTATTAAATGATGAATCAGGGTCAATAAACAGAAATTGATTTCAAAAAATGGCTTTCTGGGATGAAATCTTTTATATTTACTAGATGGTCTTTTGTTTCTCCAGTGCTGGGAGCAGACAGCACAAACAGGGGTAGAGCCACACTCACAGCAGGGTGAGGAGGTATTGTGGGGGTCGTTTTAAGGAAGATAAAAGAGTCAACAGTGAAAAAAAATGGTTGGCTGCCGGCCTGGGGCCTGCAACTCTGATTCTGGAGGCAGGCTGCTCAGTGCCCATGGTGGGTGCCAGGGTTCCTTCTTCCCAGTCGTAATGATCCGCAGTGGATTCTGGGCTCCAGGAACACTCCATCTGGGTCCAACTAGTCCCAGGGGTGCCTTTCTTATTTCTGGCAAATTTCTGAGTTTTCCAGAAAGAAACTGCCTGAAAGGGACAAACTAGATCCCTGGGAACATTCCGCTCCCAAAGAAAGCTGCTGAGACCCCTTGGGGATTCTGTATGGTCACGGGAATGGATCAGCATGTGGGTGCCTGGGACCACCACCTGGCCCAGGTCAGCCCCACCCTGGGCTCCTGGGGGCCCCATGGACAGCTGAGATCTGGTGGAGCATGGGGATGGTCAATGGTGGAAGAAAAGGCAGAAAGGAGGCCCCTAGAGACAGTTTTCTCTGTGCCAAGTCTGCATGGCAAAGACTGCAGGTTCAGCACATGGTTCTTAGAATAAGTGGCACAAATGAGATAGCATGATTGGTGAGCTTATCCTGCTATTGATCAAGGCAACATAGAACCCAAGTTTCCCTGACACAGAAGTCCTGGCACCTAGACTCCCATCTCCTACCCTCCCAACCCTCATACTCCCAGGCACCCACAACCCTCACACTTCCAGGCCCCCATACTCCCATGCCCCACACTCCCAACCTTCACACTCCCAGGCACCCACTTCCCAGATCTCCACACACCCATGCTCCCACATCCCCCAGGACCCACACCCCCATCCTCCACATTTCCATCTCCTATCTCCTGCACCCCATCCCCCACACCCCCAGGACCCACAACTCCCTGGACCTAGCCCATCACACAGATCCCCCTCCTCCCACCTCAGGGTCACTAAGCTCTCCAGGCCCCAGCAGGGGGGTGAGAGGAGAAACCTGAGGCTGCAGGTGTGGGGAGTTCTGGGCTGGGCCTGGGGGAGCTCAGGGCAGTAAAGGACAAAGCCAGAGACCTAGCCCTCCTCTGGGCAGCCCAACAAATGGACAAGGAGCTTGCCCTGGGCTGGGACTGCAGGAGGATGAGGGGAGGGAAGAGACTTGTGAAAGCAGGGCCTCCTAGAGCAAGGCCAGCTGGCAAACAGGCTTCAGAGGAAGACACGGCCCGGGGCACCCCAGGCCATAGCCTGCCTCCCTTCAGTAATGTTGGCTGATTGAGGGGATTAAGGGTCTCCTTCTCATGAGGTGGGTGAGATAAAGCAAGGGGACCATGCCTGATCCCTGTGGACGCTCCTTGAATGTCACTTCCCCTCCTTTTTCTGCAAAAAAGGATAGCAAAGATGCCCCCCACTCCCCTTTCTCTTCTAATCCCAGAGTTCCCCACTGATAGCAATTAACCCTTTGGAAATGTCAGGAAAGATTTGACCTCCCTCCTTTGGGGGAGAAGACCCTCCACCCCCGTCTTACCCCTGCCCCTAGGCTGCCTGTGACTGGTGTGACCCACTCGTATGGTGCACTGGGTCCCCACCATGATGACTATGAGATCACAGCTTTACTCACCTACAAGGTGTCCATCTGGGTACCAGGGGCTTCCCAGTTCCTTCTGTTCATGGCCTCTGCTTCTTTCTTTGCCTTGCCACCTGTGTGTACACACACACACACACACACACACACGCGCAAGCAAACACACTCTGGGAAAGCAAATAGTCCCATGGACCCTTTATTTAAAGTAAATTCTTCTTGGTGGCCCCACATCAGCACCAGGTTATTTCCAGCTGACCCTCCATCAGTTCCCTGAAGAGGCCAGGAGTCTCCTGCCCCAGGGCCTTTGCACATACTGTTCCTTTCATCTGGGATAAACTGGTGCACACACACATCAGCTACATCCACCCCACTAGTCCTTCAGCTCTCCGCACAATGCTCCCTCTTTAGCAAGTGCTTCGTGCCCTACAGGGACTCATCACACTTTGTAACCCTGTGCTTACTACTGTCATCACTCAACATGTGATTCTTTGCCTCACACATCCACCCCTCCCAAGGCCAGATCTGCCCTCTATGGGTCTATGACTTCTAAAACAGCACCTGACACACAGTAGGTGTGTAAAACATGCCGAGTGAATAACAGAACCCAGAGGCACTGTAATTGAAGCCCCAAGCCTGCACTCTCACCCCACCACTACCCACACCCACTCTCTCTTTACACTATGGGACTGTACATTATTGCAGGCCAGGTCCGGCAGCATCTGGGCACCCGTGGGATCTCCTGCCCTCTCCTAGAGGCAACGGGAAGGAGGACAGTTTCCCTTTCACGTTTCCAAGCTCTGCAGTTGATCCTGGTCAAAGCTCTATTTCTCTCTGGCATCTTGCAGGCTGATGTCAGAACCTGAGTCAGAGTTGCAACATAAGGACCACTTCTCCCACTTCTCAGAATGTTTCTATTGGCCAGTAAGTCATGCCCTGTCTCTACAGGCTTTTTCACACTTGCCTGAGTGCAGTATTCCCTGATTTTGGGAGAAATGTGAGCAAGCTGAGATCTTGGCTCCGGGAGTGGCAGCCCCAATGAACATTCAACCATAGAATCTTGTGGGAATTTCAGGCCATTCTGGCTTCCCAGTTGGCATTAGTGGTAAAGATCCCACCTGCCAATGCGGGAGATGTTAGAGACATGAGTTCAATCCCTGGTTCGGGAAGATCCCCTAGAGAAGGAAATGGCAACCCTCTCCAGTATTCTTGCCTGGAGAATTTCATGGACAGAGAAGCCTGGTGGGCTACAGAGTCACATAGAGTCAAGACACGACTGAAGTGACTTAGCACAGCACTGACCACCATTGAGCCTCCAGCCGTATCAATTGGGCTGCAGGAATTACTTATTCAGGACAGCAGCCCTGCAGAAAAGAGAAAATGCCCAAGCAGGTGGGCTCTGAAGGACAAACCATGTTGCAGGCAGAAATGATATGATTTCAGGTAGATCAACGTGGGGGTCCCCTTGGACCATGGAACTCTGTCTCGGGGCTGCACAAGAGCCACCCAGAGACCACGTACCTTCCTCCAGCAGATGGAGCAGGATTTTTAGCCACCATTTGCTGGCTAGGTGAAATGACACTCGCCAGGGCCAACAGAGAGTTGAGTTGGTCCTTTGAGGAACCACATAGACACAACAGAGGGAGAGCACCCATGAGAATATAAATACGCCAGAGAGGGTCCAGTGTGGAGGCCAGATGGGCAAAGGGGCCTTTCTGGACCAGCCCAGGGGCTTGGTTAGCACCAGAGAGACCCACGAAAGGCCAGGCCCAGATATAACCAGGAAGACCACCCCAGGAACAGAACCCCACCCAGACTAAGTGAAGAACCGCCACCGACCACATGGACCTGGCAGGAGGGCACAGCACCCAGGAGGTCTCCATGTGGCCATGAGAAACCAGACGTGCTCACAGGGACACTACAGGCCCCCACACGCACACACAGCGCCAAGTGAGAGTGCAGGGCTCACTCAAGGATGTTCAGAACTGCAGGATGGGGAGAGCAGAGCATCAGGCCACACAGGTTCGTGTGACTCTATGGACTGCATGCCGGTCTTGGGCCTCAGACTCTCTCCATCCTCCTTACCTTCAGTTCTTCACCCTACAGAATCTGAATTTAGAAATGAAAAAAAAAATCTGTCCCCCAATTTAAGCCCTTCACCCTGTCCCATATGTGTCTCTGAGATGAACTGTGTGAGCATAAACACACACTTTCAGAAGCTAAGAACTGGCAGGCATGACAGCTATTTTTTACTCTGCTGAGCTTCATTAACAGGGCCATGGCTCAGCAGGGACACAGCCAGAGAGCCTGGTGGTGGGTGACGTTTGCAACTTATGATGGTGGGGAAGGGCAGCCCAGTGGCCTCTGCTCTAAAGCATGGGGTCAAACACAGTGTGTCGTCAGCTGGGCCCCTCACCCTGAACTGAGCTGTAGCCAAACAGTTAAGAGGTACATGCTAGCAAAAAGGCTTGTACTGCCTAACTGCATAAAAACCCGGTGACTGAGCTAAAGGATTAGACAGAAAAGCTAATGTTTTGCTTTTAGACCAAAATAACTCTCATTATTGACAACCCTAAAAAAGATTCATGGGAGGAGACCCTGATGTTGGGAAAGATTGAGGGCAGGAGAAGAAGGGGGCGACAGAGGATGAACTGGTTTGATGACATCACTGACTCAATGGACATGCGTGCATGCTCAGTCACTTCAGTCAGGAGTGCACCAGGCTCCTCTGTCCACGAGACTTTCTAGGCAAGAATACTGGAGTGGGTTACCATGCCCTCCTCCAGGGGATCTTTCCTACCCAGGGATTGAACCCGTGTCTCTTATGTCTCCTGCTTTCTCAAGCAGATTCTTTGTCACTAATGCCATCAGGGAAGCCCTCAATGGACATGAGTTTGAGCAGACTCCAAGGGATGGTGAAGGACAGGGAAACCTAACATGCTGCAGCCCATGGGGTTGCAACGAGTCAGACACAACTGAGCAACTGAACAACAATAAAACTGTACCCACACCAGCCCCTGTCAGGGATCTCCAGAAGTCTGCTTATTTTCTTGAGAGAAAAT